AGATGGGTTAACCTGGTGATGGGTATTAAAGAGGGCACATTCTGCATGGAGCACTGGGTGTTATGCACAAACAATGAATCATAGAACACTACATCTAAAACTAATGATGTAATGTATGGTGATTAATATAACAATAAAAAATTTAAAAAAAATTTCCAAGTAAGAGAAGGTCAAATAACTGAATAATTCCTGATATACAGTGAAATCACTTTATATTAATGGTTGCAAGTTAGTGCTGTATAGTAAGTTTTCATTGTATAAATCTTAAGATTTTGAAGACAGAATTTAGTTCATAATATTCAAATTTACTTAAAAATTTTTATTGCAGTAGACAGGTAATAAAGTATTCTTATATTAGAATTTCTTATTATATTTTAAGAAGAAAACAATGAGATCCTTTTAATATTTGTGAAATGTAGTCATTACCATATAAATTTTATATGTTCACTTTCATATAAAATATTAGTAATATATGGACCATATGTTACTAATCAATATTTAAATTCTTTTAAATACTTGCTGATGTAACTTTATGCCATAGTTTTATCTTTACATGAAAAGATGAAATGGATAAGAGATGACTTTTCCAATCCTCTTGGGGTTTGTGTGAATCTTGTTTTCTGTCCAGCCTCTGTGTGTATTTACAGCAATGTGTGGAGAGGAAGCATCTCTATAAGCTCAAATTTGCATGTCTCTTTCATCACCCAGCAGTGAGATAGATTGATTTTTACTTCCTTTTTCATCCTTCTAACCAATACATCCTGCCTCCTACCCAGGTTTTTCTTTGACTTTTGAGACTGGGGATGTTGAAGGCTTGTTACACCAATGCTCAGTGAGAAGCCTGTGTAATCTTGACAGATTCTTAAAGTCACAAAAACTACAAAATGTTCTCAGTTGCATCAAATGCCATAAAATCACAAAAGCCACAAAATATTCTCATAAGTATGAAATGTCATATATTCTCCGTGTTAATTCGCAGGCCTAGACAATGCTGTCTTTCAGTGGAAAGATTTCCTGCAGTGCCACATTTTAGGGGAAAGAAGAAATGTAATACTTTTGGTGGGTGCATGTTGAAGTACCGCTCAAGTTTTCTACCCAAGAGCAGAGCTTGGGCCCCAGGGAGTCTGATGATAGAGCGGGAACTGCCACAAATGAGTTGTTTTAATAAATATGCTTGTTTTTATGTAAAAATAAACTTTAAATTTCTTTTTTTTTTTAATTATGTTTAGTTAGCCAACATATAGTACATCGTTAGTTTTGGATGTAGTGTTCAGTGATTCATTAGTTGCATATAACACCCAGTGCTCATCACAACACGTGCCCTCCTTAATACCCATCACTTTTTTTTTTAAAGATTTTATTTATTTATTTGAGAGAGACAATGAGATAGAGAGAGCATGAGAGGGGGGAGGGTCAGAGGGAGAAGCAGGCTCCTCGCTGAGCAGGGAGCCCGATGCGGGACTCGATCCTGGGACTCCAGGATCATGACCTGAGCCGAAGGCAGTCGCTTAACCAACTGAGCCACCTAGGTGCCCCCCATCACTTCTTAATACAGGCTAACCAAGAAAAATAGAGAGAAAACATAAATTACTAATGTAAGAAATGAAAGAGGGACCATCACTACTGATCTCATGGACATTAAAAGGATAATAAAGGAATATTATGAAAACTCTATAGCCATAAGTTTTATAACTTAGATGAAATAAACCAATTCTTTTAAAGCCATACTCTACCAAAACTCATACAAGGAGAAACAGATAATCTGCATAAGCTTGCATCTACTAAGTAAATTGAATCAATAATTCATAATATTCCAAAACAAGAAGCACCAAGGCTAGGTGGTTTCACTGAGTTGTGCCAAATATTTGAGAAAGAAATGATTCCAATTCCCTACAATTGCTTTCTGAAACTAGAAGCAGAGGGAATATTTCTTAATCCATTCTTTTTTTTTTTAACTAAAACGATGATTTTTAATGGGAACCAGAGGTATGGTTACAATTACATAGTCCTACACAAAAAACCTGTGGCTGATCAGAAGTTGGAAGGTTACAAAATAATGAGGGTAACACTGGGTACAAGATGAAAAGCTGTTGCAGAACCTCAGGAGCCAAGCTAATACGGCCTCTCCTTGCGATCCTGTCTGTGCTCATCTGGAGTCCATCTTGCCAGGGCCAAAGTTACCTCTGTCCCCACAATCCTGGCCCCCTCGGGAGCTCCCATGGTCCCCGCCTCGGCCTTGGTAGCCGCCCCGATCATAGCCTCCTCTGCCACCACGACGATTATCTCCATAGTTACCCCCATATGAGAGCCTTCTGGTCCCCCTCCTTGGCCATCTGGTTTAGGGGCCTTACATTGGTTGCATTCATTCCTCCAAGAGAAGTTCATGTTCTCACATATAGGATTAGGACACTTCAGTCACCAGTTCGCTGCTGGCCGCTGCCACCAGCTCCTCCACTAGGGAATCCTCCCTGGCCACCACCACCACTGCCACGACCTCCATAGCCTCCACGGCCCATGGGTCCTCCTTGCCCTCGGCCTCCATGACCATTGCCACCATCCCAATTGAAGTCTGCTCGCCGAGTAACAGATGAGACCTTGATGGGATTCCCAGAGAATTCTTTACCATCAAACCAGTCAGTAGCTGCTTTAGCAGAAGGTGGGTCATCAAACAACACTGTTGCCTCTCCCTTCAGCTTGCCCATTTCCCTGTCTGTGTACAGATTAATCATGGGCTGTCCTGTTTTCTTATTTGTCTTAATAATACCAATCTGTTTGAAGTAATCAGCCACAGACTCAATTGTAACATTTTCACCCAAGCCTTGCACGAAGATGGTGGTGTTGTCTGAATTATCCTGTTCAGAGTCATGACGTGATCCCTGGTCACGAGGGCCACCAAATTTATTGAAGCCACCATGGTCACTTCTGCCCATGCCGCCTCTGCCTCCACGGCCACCTCCACGACCTCTGGGTTCATAGCCACCGCTGCTGCAGTTGTAACCACCGCCACCGCCCCGGCCGTGGCCCCCACGGTCCTGCTGGCCTCACCCATAGCCACCGCCACCACCACTCTGGTCCTGATTGCCATAACCGCCACCACCACCACTCATGGAGGACTGATCTTGGCCATAGCTACCTCCACTGCTACTGTTGTACTGGTTCTGCTGTCCATAGCCTTGAGGGGGATTATAGGAGCTTTGCTGCTGTCCATAGCCTTGCTGCTGTCCACGATAGCCAGACTGCTGGCCATAGCCCCACTCTGGGGCTGCCCATAGCCGCTGCTCTGAGAACCACTACCATAACTTCCCGAGGTGCTGCTAGGGGCTGGCTGCTGGTCATAGCCAGGATAAGAGGACTGTTGCCCATAAGATGACTGAGAACTCTGGCTACCACCTTAGCCACCGGTTGAGCCATATCTCTGGGGAGCTGACTGAGTGCCATAGCTGTTCTGGGTCTGTCCATAAGAAGAACCATAGCTGCTCTGGCCATAGCCTGAAGTGTCTGCTGACTGTCCATAACCACTGTAACTCTGTGGTCCATAGGGCTGATTGCTCTGCTGGGAATAGCCCTGCCCAGGCTGGGTGGGGTAGGCCCCATAGCTTCGAGTTGCTTGTTGGGTATAGTAGGTTGAGGCCATGTCCGCAAATGTGCGCACAGGCCGACAAGCAACGAGATTCCAACACCACAGAGCACCGGCACCTTGAGAACTCTCTTAATCCATTCTATAAGGTGGATGCCTGGGTGGCTCAGTTGGTTGAGTGACTGCCTTCAGCTCAGGTCATGATCCTGGAGTCGCAGGATCGAGTCCTGTATCAGCTCCCTGGTCAGTGGGGAGCCTGCTTCTCCCTCTGCCTGCTGCTCCCACTGCTCATACTCTCTCTCTGTCAAATAAATAAAATCTTTAAAAAAAATCCATTCTATAAAGCTAGCATTATCCTATCACGAAAACTAAAGAAAGATATTATAAGAAAGGGAAACTACAGACCAATATCACTCATTAATATAGGTGCAAAAATCCTCAACAAAATATAGGCACATTGAATCCAACAGGGAATTCAAAGAATTATACACCACAACCAAGTGGGATTTATTCCAGGTATGTGAGGTTGATTCAACATTCAAAAATTAATTAATGTAATCCATCACATCAATAGACTAAAGAAGAGAAATTATATGATCACATAGACAGATGCTGAAAAATCATTTAATAATCATGATTTTAATCATTCATTATTAAAAACTCTCAACAAACTAGGAATGGAGGGAAATTCCTCAAGTCGATATAGAACTTTCACAAAAACATACACATAACATCATATTTAGTGATTGTGAACAAGGCAAGGGGGTCTCCTCTCATCACTCCTATTCAACATTGTATTGAAAGTCCTAACTGAGGCAGTAAGACAAGAAAGGAAATACAATGTATACATATTGGACAGGAAGAAATAAAACAGTCTATGTTCACAGATGACATGATTGTTTATGTAGAAAGTTTGAAAGAATTGACAAAAACATTCCTGGAACTAATAAGCAATTATAGCAAGGTTACAGTATATAAGGTTAATATACAAAAGTCAGTTGCTTTTCTATTTACTAACAATGAACAACTGGAATTTGAAATAAAAAAACACGACACCATTTTCATTAGCATCAGGAAAATGAAGTATTTAGGTACAAATCAAATTAAATATGTATATGATTTATTTGAAGGAAAACAAAAAAACTGATAAAGAAATGAAAAATCTAAATAAATGGAGAGAAATTCTATGTTCATAGTTTGGAATATGAACTCAATGTTGACTAAATATTGTCAAAATGTAAGTTATTCCCAACTTGGTTAAGAAATTCAATATAATCCCAATAAAAAATCTCAAAAGTTATTTTGTTGGTATTGACAAACTGATTCTAAAGTTTATATGGGGAGGCAAAAGACACAGAATAGTCAACACAATATTGAAGAAGACCAAAGTCAGAGGATTGACACTGTCATTGTGCACTGATCTGGCTGCAGGGCTTCGCCATGAGTTTGCATATGGCAGTGGACACTGGATGAGAGTTGGGTGGGCAGCATGCAGTTGCACAGCTAAAAGAGCTAGCTGGGTTAGATAATTCTCTGTTGTGGGAGCCATCTTATGTATTGTAGGATGTTTAGTAACATCCTACACAAGGATTGAGAACCACATCTCTAGAGAAATGAATGGTATAGGTGCTTCCAAACTAGAAGGTAGTTTGGGCTTGGGGAAAATTTAATTTCATGAGTGATGTCTGTGTTGTTGCTGAAACATCAGGCACATGTATTCTGATTGGAAGGGCTGTCAGGGACTCAATGTTGCAATGCCCATACTGGGCATCTAAAATGAAAATGAAAAAGCAACCTGTGAAATAAGAGAAAATATTTGCAAACCATATATTTGTTAAGGGGCTAAATCCAAAATATATAAAAAATTCATACAGCTCAATAATAAAGAAGAACAAAACAATTAAAAAATGGGTGTGAAGTACATGAGTAGACATTTTTCTAAAGATATAAAAACAGCCAACAGGTATATGAAAAGGTGCTCAACATCCCCTATTGTCAGGAAAATGCAAATCAAAACCACAATGAGATATCACATCACACCTGTCAGAATGACTATTATCAAAAGTACAAGAAATGACAAGTGTTGGTGAGGATGTAGAGTAAAGGAAACTCTTTTGCACTGTTGGTAGGAATATAAATTGTTGCAGCCACTGTGGAAAATGGTATGGAGGTTCCTCAAAAATTAAAAAAAAAAAAACAAAAAACTACCATACAATTCAGCAATTTCACTTCTGAGTATTTATCTGAAGAAAATAAAAATACTAATTTGAAAAGCTATATGTATCCCTATGTTTGCTGCAGCATTATTTACAATAGCCAAGATATGAAAACAACCTAAATGTCCATCAATGGATGAATGGATAAAGAAGGTGTGATACACACACACACACACACACACACACACAATGGAATACTACTCAGCCATAAAAAAAGAATGAAATCTTGTCATTTGCAACAACATGGATTGACTTTGAGGGCATTATGCTAAGTGAAATAACTCAGATAAAGACAAATACCATATGATTTACCTGTATGTGGAACATAAAAAGCAAAACTGATGAACACACAAAACAAAATGAAACCAAACTCATAGACACACACAAAAAAACATATTGCTAGAAGGAAGGGAGTTGGGAGAGTGGATGAAATGGGTGAAGGGGATCAAGAAGTACAAACTTCCAGCTATGAAATAATTAAGTCATGTGGAGGTAATGTACACCATAGTGACTATAGTCAATATTATTGTAGTGCAAATTTGAAAGTTGCTAAGAAAATAAATCTTAAAAGTTCTGATCACAGAAATTTTTTTTATAACTTTGTATGGTGCCAGGTGATAATTTCACAATATACACAAGTGACAAATAATTATGTTGTACAACCTAAACTAATATGATGTATGTCAAGTATACTTCAAAAAAAAAATAAAGCAGAAAAGGATATCATGTTGTTATTTGTAACTAGCGTATTTGAAACCCCAGGAAAGGTTGAGAGAATAACACATTTTCTTGCTGCAGAGCACTCATTCCTAGGAAGTAGGTGGACTCTTTTGCATCTATTGGCCTGACACTGGAAATATGGCCTCTTCTAAGGCAGGGTCCTGTGACAAGCATACTGCTTCATTTCCGTTGGTTGAGCACTTCAGGTTTTATCAGAAGAGATTATAAACTAATGATAAATCTTCCAAAGCATCCAATACTTCAATTTACTATTTCTTGGATTTATGTAAAAGTGATTAAGGAAATCTGTGAAACAAGAACATAAATCACTAGATGAACATCTGACATTTAGTGAGCCATTATTAGCGATTAGAGAACACTCAGAGTAGTAGGTAATAGAAGACTTTCAAATTATATGAAACTCAAGTTCTGTGGAGTGAGTAGAAATCTAAATAGACATGAGCTTTTTCTCATTTAAGACACTTCTGACTTAACTATTGTGAAATTATGGATGAGTGAGAATTAGAGAAGAACAAAACAAAACCCCTTTGCTAAGGAGGCCCAAACAGTAAAAAATGGAAAGAGATTGAGAAATAATGAGAAAAATCAAAGCCTGTGGTTTTTTCTCTGCATCATTCAGTCTTAATCTGTGCCCTTTTAAAATGTTTATTGAGATGTTTCCCATGCCAGAGTTTAACCACTTTCTTTACTATCTGACTCTATAGTACTCTTTTTTAATCTGCTTCTTAACTATAAATTAGTAATTAAACAACAAAATAATAGAGTAGAAAAAAATTCAGGTCTTAACATACTTGTATTAGTCTTTATTGAAGTTCTGAGTCAGTTTATTTGATAAAACGATTACTGACGCCTACTTTTGTACTCAGTTGTAAGAGGCATAAGAAATCACATGTAGGAACTTGATAAACTGGTCTCAAGCAGGACTTCAGAGGAATGAACAACAAGCCTTTCCAAATTAAACAACCGGAACCTTGCCTCCCTTGGCATTAATTCTTTTGATATGAGTAAGACATAGCCCTCACAGCAGAATGGCAAAGCTTTGAAAGCATTATCTCAAAGGACAAAAATAGAGCATGCAGAAATGTAAACTGGAGCTCAGAGAATTCCACAAACTGAAAATAGATGAGAGTGTGATAAACAATGAAAATTTTATTGGAAAGCACTTGAAAAAATGCCTGGTGGAAGAGTCTAAAATTCATTTCTCCTGATATCTTATAGAGATATTTTTTAAAAAAGAAAGTAATTAGCTCAGGAAATCACCTGTCAGAGAATGATGAAAGGACAGACTCTTCTGTGATGACCTCCAGTAAGGACCAAATCCTCCTTAGGGTTCATCCTCTGATCCTCCCGGGATAGGGAGTTGGGGTACTTGTCACCCTTCTACCTGTGGGAAGTGATTTATGCCTGACTGCATGTTAGACAGGGGAGTGGTCTGAAACCTAGATAGATAGTCATAAAAGCCACGTCAGGGACACTTCAATATAAATGTCTGGAGGAGTTGAAATGGAAAAAAAAAAAAGATTTCAGACTATCTAGAGCCCTGAAAGAGCCTTCTAAATCCTACCTACCAACTGTTTAGATCACTGGTTTCATCCCTAAGGGAACATCAGAAAATTAAGGAGGTGAAAGCCAAACTCAAACCTTGCTGCAACTTTTGGAAAACTCAATCTTTGCTACGAACCCTCAGGTTTCATGGGATGATCCAATCATTGATTTAAGAATAAGAGTAATAAAATCAGAGGAATCAGCTCTATTCGAACATTCAGAATCCAAGGAGTAATGACAAAATGACTTTGGAGCCTTTAGTCCTTGTTTACAGAGCAAACAAGACTAGTATTAATGGCCTTTGGAAAGATGCCCTTTCATATTTGACATTGAGTGCATCTGATACAAATAGAAAACCTTGAGAAAATGTGAGTCTGTCTTCCTTAGAGGTCACCATTTATTATGTAAACACTGAGAGCCTCCTTTGTTTTCCTTGCTGGGTCTGTACCTCACAGCTACCCTGGCACACATCCAGCCCAGCCAGGTACCCTCTGACCAGCCCTTCAGATGGATCTGCAGTCACCTCAGAAACCTCAGGGTCACCTAGTGATGAGCTCACCAGGTCCCTCTGCACCCTGATGCCATTCTCCTCTGTCTCCTCATGTGAGTGTCCTGTGGTAAACAAGACTTTTACTCTACGTGGACACCTGGGACATCCTCACCTGGCTCACCACTGCTTGCTTGTCAAAAGGAGCCCTTCGAGCAGCACTGCAGACTACCACTTACTATGAAAATCAATCTGACATCTAAAATGTGCTACAGTGTCCTTGTGTGTGTTCTGTTTTTGTTTTTGTTTTTTTTTAATTTGAAAAACAAGGATGATGTCAACATCTACATTAGGAAGTATTAGTAAATTGAGACTTGTTATCTGAAGAATTAGTCATGGCTCTAACAGGGCCAAGACAGGGAAACAGATACACTGACATGAGTGAAATAATAATGCTGAGTGATTTTCATTCATTATTATTCATTTCATTCATTATTAGGTGGGTTGTATTTAGAGTAATAGCTAAATTATAGAATTATTCTCTTATCAGCTTTGTTACACTCTCATACCTGGGTGCCTAGAGCAGAATTCTTAAAATGTGATGAAGGTGCATGTGCTGGAGGAGGAGGAAAGAATTCATTTATTTGTTCAACCAAATGGCTAAATGAACTATGATCAAGAGCTGGGAATCTAAAACACTTCCTTCAGGGGCGCCTGGGTGGCTCAGTTGGTTAAGCGACTGCCTTCGGCTCAGGTCATGATCCTGGAGTCCCTGGATCGAGTCTCGCATTAGGCTCCCTGCTCGGCACAGAGTCTGCTTCTCCCTCTGACCCTCCCCCATCTCATGTGCTCGCTCTCATTCTCTCTCTCTCAAATAAATAAATAAAATCTGAAAAAAAAAAAAAAAAAAAAGAAAACACTTCCTTCAATTTATGCTAAGCAAAATTACCTTAAGCATGAACACCCCAGCTGCAGCGCCTCTCTCCCATCACCTCCTCAGCCAAGAGCCCATGGGGTTATCTAAGCACACTCTGATCTTGCAGTGGGAGTGTTATGCATTTTATTCTTGCTTTGATCCAAGAGATTAGTGTGCTCTTCACCATGTTCTCCATGAAGAGAGTGGGGACAGACAGGATTTAGAGGAAACCCGGGGGACCTGCTTACAAGCTACTATGCTTAGAGGCAGAGAGCATTCTAACTTTTCCCCCAAGATAAAGTGAAACTGCAGATATCCAGGACAGGAACCAGCTCCCAGCCTGTGTCTGCACAAGGACATTCTCTACAGTGGAGGCAGAGCCTGGGGGACAACTCATAGGCCCCTAAAAAAGGGTTTTGTGTGTTACCAGACTATCTTGGTCATCATGTGATACCTCCTTTCAGACTTTTCATCAGCCAGTGAGTCAACACACACCGAATAACCACAGGGTGCTATTAGTGTTAAGTGTTCAGTCATATTAAAGGGCCTTATAGGGGCACCTTGACATGGATATGTAAGAATTTCCCCTGGCTCAGTTGGTTAAGTGTTCACCTTTTGCTTTCGGCTCAGGTTGTGATCTCATGGGTTGTGAGATGGAACCCTGAGTTGGGCTCCCAGCTCAGTGGGAAGTTTGTTTGAAGATTCTCTCCTGCGGCCCCTTCCTCCTCATGCTCTCTCTCTTTTTCTCCCTCCCTCTCTGAGTGGATGGATAAATCTTAAAAAAAAATAGAAGGTCTTATAACATAGGCCACATTTCTTTCTACTTTCTAGGGCTTTGCCCGTGTGCACACTGGCCAGAGAATCTTCATTTATACCATTTCAAGAACACCATTATAATAGAAGTTGCCTCTAAAAATGCAGCAGTTAATGTTGTATGGAGCAAAAAGAAATGGAAAGAGCAAGCAAGGGTTTTGGCATCAAAACTAGATGCCAAATCTGGTCCAGCTCCAGCTGAGAGATCTTGGGCCAGCTGCCTGACCTCTGAATGTTTTCCCCTCATCTATAAAATTAGGAGACTGTTGTTGATGATGATGTTGATCCCTAGCTCCTGCTATTAGGAATAACACATAAAGTGTGAAGGGTAATGTGAGTGTCAGCTGTTCTAGCTGTAACTCAGGGTTGGAGTCCTTGGTCCCATGAAAGCCTAGATCTGCTATTTCTGGCCAATAGCAGGGTTTCCTGGAGGTGAGCAATGACAAGCTTTTCATGGTGGGTGCAGACAACCTCAGGTTCCGAGGAAAGCCATCTCCAGACCTCACTAGTAGCCCTGATGGATGATAGAGACTTCTGTGCAGATGTTGTGGGGCAGGATCATGCTTACTGTCTTGCAGGCTTATGCAAAATAAGCTCTACTCTACATTAGTTTTTAGAAATTATAAACTGCTGCAGGGCTCTGAGTCTAGATTCAATACTTTTGAAATCTTGATAAATAGAATTAAAGGAAAACACACGATTTAGAGACTATCAGGTGTTTTCTTCTTTTATGAAAGGTAAAGTCTGAATTGCAATTTTTTCTCTTTGAGAAAAGTTAAAAAAATTATCTCACTATTGGTTTAGTTTTCCAAAGATGAAGCCAAGATCCTATACTGGAATGGAGTTCAAGACAATGTAGAACTACATGGCTTTCTACAATAATGCCAAGGTGGTCTTTACTGTGGGTAGAATTGCATTTCTTCATTCATTCATTCATTCACTTATTCATTTAACTAGGATTCACTGAGCTACTGTGTGCCTACCTCCTCTAGGTCCTGAGTGCTGCCCTCTGGAGCTCATGTCACTCATGCTGGGTACTGTGCAGTCAAGGGGTTATCTGACAGGGGATGGGCCTGGTCTTAGAAGACTTCCCTGAATAAGTGAGTTGAAGCTAAGATCTGCAGGATGAGTCAGGGACTTTATAGTGAAAAGAAGATGAGTACTCACTTCGGTGGCACAGACTAAAATTGGAACAATACAGAGAAGATGATCATAGTCCCTGTACGAGAGTGACATGCAAACTAGTGACATGTTCTGCATTTTTGCATGACAACATGAATGTATTTAATACCATACAACTGTATACTTAAAATGGTATATTTTATGTTGTGTCTATTTTACCGTAATAAAATAAAAGGGGGTGCTGTTGAGAAGGTCCTGCTGCAGGCAGAGGGGATAGCAGGGAGAAATGTCTAGTGGGAAGGAGCATGGATGCGAACAAAGCCAGCAGGACTTGTTTGTCAAGATTCGGGGGGTGGTGTGTGGCCCAAGATGAAGCTGGAGTTGCAGGCAGAGGCCACATCAAACCTGGATATTGATGTCCTGAAACCAGTGGGAGTTTGTGGAGGGCTTTCATCAGGGCAGTGATGTATTTGTGTTTTAAAAAATCACCCTGGACTGGGGTGGAGAGCAGGTGGAGGAGCCACAGACGAGGCTGAACAGTTAGGAAGGTGTCAGAGTTCTTCAGGAGGGACATTGGGTGCCACTTGAACTAGGGCATTAGGCATGGAGACAAATGGATAGATTTGAGAAGATTTGGGGAGCAAATGGCTGAACTTGATGGGTTCCTCAGGGGCAAGGGAAGAGACCCAAGAGAGATTTCCATGTTTCTTGATGGATGGTGGTGTTTCTACCTTGTTATTCTGATTTATATAAACTGGTAAGTTTTATTAGTGCTAATCAGTTCCATAACCTTTAAACTGATCTTGCTCATGAGCCTAC